TATACAATTGGATATACTTTCATCAAACTGGTTAACATAGCCTTCACTACATTTCCTTAATCATTGTGCTAAGAGTCTACACTTAGTAGATTTGACATAGTAGATTTGACATACACCCTGGTAAAATGTACCTACCATAGGTATGGTTCCACCAATTACCCTCCCTCCACCCATCCTCACCCCTCACCTCCTCTCCCCCTCCTCTTTCCCTCCTCTTTCCCCTTCATCTTGGGCTGTAGTTGGGTTATACCTTTCATATGGAATGGGGGTGCTTATATACCAATTTCATAGTAGGGCTAAGCACATTGGATACTTTTTCTTCCATTGTTGAGATACTTTACTAAGAAATATATGTTCCAGCTCCATCCGTGTAAACATGAAAGAGGTAAAGTCTCCATCTTTTTTAAGGCTGCATAATATTCCATGGTGTACATATACCACAGTTTATTAATCCATTCATGTGTTGATGGGGACCTGGGCTTCTTCCATGACTTACCAATTATGAATTGAGCTGCAATAAACATTCTGGTGCAAGTGTCTTTGTTATAAAGTGATTTTTGGTCTTCTGGATATGTACCTAGTAGAGGACATTGAAGGATCGAATGGCAGGTCTATTTTTAGATCTCTAAGTCATCTCCAAACTTCTTTACAAAAGGAACATATTAGTTTGCATTCCAGCTAGCAGTGCAGAAATGCACCTTTTCTCCATATCCATGCCAACATTTATGTTTTGGGGATTTTTATGATGTGGGCTAATCTTACTAGAGTTAGATGACATCCCAAAGTGGTTTTGATTTGCATTTCTCTGATGATTAAGTGTGATGAGCATTTTTTTATGTGTCTGTAGGCCATGTGCCTGTCTTCTTCAGAGAAGTTTTTATTGAAATCTCTTGCCCACAAGGAGGTGGGATCACTTGTTCTTTTTTTGCTAATACATTTGAGTTCTCTATGGATTCTTGTTATCATACCTTTGTCAGAGACATAACTTGCAAATATCTTCTTCCATTATGAGGGCTGTCTGCATGCTTTACATACTGTCCTCTTGCCTGTGCAAAAGCTTTTTAGTTTGATCAGATCCCAGTAATGTATTTTTGGCATTGCTTTCATTGCCTGGTGGGTCCTCCTCATAAAATATTCTCTCAGGCTGATTTCTTCAAGTGTTTTCCCTGCACTTTCTTCTGTTATTTTTATAGTGTCATGTCTTAAGTTTAAATCTTTTATTCAGTGAGAGTCTATCTTAGTTAATGATGAAAGGTGTGGGTCCAGTTTCGGTCTTCTATAGGTTGCCAGCAAGTTCACCCAGCACCATTTGTTAAATACAGAGTCTTTTCCCCAATGAATGTTTTTGATTGGCTTATCAAAGATTTAATGACAGTAAGTAGCTGGGTTCATCTCTTTGTTCTCTATTCTGTTCCATACATCTACCTCTCTGTTTTTGTGCCAGTACCATGCAGTTTTGATCACTATCAATTTATAATATAGCCTGAGGCCTGGTAGCTTGATTCCTCCTAATTTGTTTTTATTTCTGAGCAAGTATTCTTGTAAGATGCAGCGTAGGTGTGCTCCCACTGATTATCCTCCTTCCATCCATGCTTCCCCCTCTTCTCCCCTCCCTCTGCCCTTTCCTCTTCCTCTTGGGCTATAATTGGGTTATAGCTTTCATATGTAAGCTAAAAATTGATTTCTTAGTAGCCTGAGTACATTGGATACTTTGTCTTCCATTCTTGAGATACTTTGCTAAGAAGAATATGTCCTAGCTCCCTTCATACAAACATGAAAGAAGGTGGGACCACACCTACAGTGAATCTTCCATCGGTACATGTGAAATTTACTAAGTGCAGAATATAAATGTCTTAACACAATAACTAAGAAAATGCCATGAAGGATATGTTAACCTTGTTTGTTGAAAATATTTCAAATTGTATGTAAAACCAGCACATTTTACCCCATGATTGCATTAATACACACAACTATGATTTAATAAAAAATAAAAAGAGAGACAAAATGATAAAAATTAACAAAATGGAGGAAATAAATAAAAGTCTGAACTATTAAAAAAACTTATGTATTTTTTTGAGGTCTTTAAAGTATGTCAGTGGAGCTTTCATAGGGATTGCATTAAAATTGGTTCACAGCAAAAGTAAGAATGAGGTACAGAGGTTTACCATAGGCCTGCTGTCCTCACACATGCACAGCAGCCCCACTAGCAGCACTCCTCACTGGAGTAGTGCAGCCTATCCTGAGGCATCACAGTCACCCAAAGTCTGTCGTTCAGCCTGGAATTCACTCTTGACCCTATGCACCCCATGTGTTTCGTCAAACACATGTTAAAACATATCCATCATCATGGTGTCATGCTAAGACTTTTCACTGCTCTAAAAGTCCCCTGCGCTCCACTATTTATCCCTTCCTCTCCCTTTCAGCCCCTGGCAACCACTAATCTTTTTACTGTTACCCATAATTTTGCCTTTTTCAGAAATGTCCTGTCATTGGAATCAAACTGGATGTAGCCTTTTCAGATTGGTTTTTTTCACTTGGTAACTTGCATTTAATGTTCCTTACGTCTTTTCATGACTTGACAGCTTATTTTTGGTCGGCACTGAGTAATGTCCTACCCTGTGGCTGTACCAGAGGCTTCCATCCACCTGTTGGCGACGTCTTGGTTGCTTCTATAATGGTTGGATTTTTACATCCATGCTCATGAGAAGATTTCTTTTTTGTAATTTGTCATTGCCTTGTTTCGATTCAGGGTAATGCTAGCATTGTAGAATGAATTGGGATGTAGTCCTTCTCTTTAATTTGGGGGAAGAATTTGTATGAAATTGTATTATTTTTGTCTAGGATGTTTGGTGGAATTCACCACTATCGCTTTTCTTCTTTTCTTTTCTTCCTACTGTTTTTGGATTAGTCAAGTAAGTATTTTTCTTTTTAATTTTTTTTTTGGACTGGATTTGGGTTTGAACCCACCACCTCCAGTATATAGGGCCAGCCAGCACCCTACTCCTTTGAGCCACAGGTGCCACCCTCAAGTAAGCATTTATAATTTAGGATCGTATTTCTCTTTTTTGGCTGACTAGCTATGCCTTCTTATTTTACTATTTTAGTGGTTGTTGTAGGATTTCCAATATATGATCTTGAATTATCACAGTCCACCTTTAGAGAATAGTGTATCACATCACATAAGCAATAAGAAAATGACAGCAATATACTTTCATTTCCACCCCCTTCTCCCCCAGCCAGATCATTTAGGAATATATGGGATTATGATTTCATTAAGTTTAGAAATTTTTGGCCAATTTTTTCAGCACTTATTTTTCTATTTTCCTGCCTCTTTGGTGATTTATATGAGCTGCTTGAAGTTTTCTCGTAGTTCACAGATGTTTCAAATTTATGAATCTTTTCTTTTGTGAGCTCTTAACTGTGTATTTCTATCAAGTGCAGTTTTTATCTCTCATAGCGTAAATGTGAGTCTTTCTAAGTGCAATTTTGTTTTCAAAAAGTCTTCCATTTCTCTATTTGTCTTCTGCACTTTTTATTCAGATAGAGATGAGCCACTTTAAATAGCTTGCTCCTTTCTGGTCTTGCTTTTATGATTTGAACTACACTAAAAAAAACCCCACTTATCAAGCAAGAACTTTCTAATGATTTGTGAAGTCTGGGTTTTTCCAAAGTTTTAGGTAGTTTCTTCCCTTGGTCTCAGATAGTTTCTTAGTGTACAAGTATGGTTTGTTCCACTACTAAATACCTGATTGGATCTCCACATATCACTGGGGTTGTCTGTTCATTTGTTTATTCCAGTCCTGATCTCTCCCCTCAGGAGTTCATTCTTGATTTTACCAGACTCTCAGCTTTATGGCTGCAACCCAGGGAGTCTGGTAAACTCTAACTCAGTTTTTCCTCCTTGTGTCATGGACTTGAAACTCTGTCACAGTAGAAAAAGGGGATGGAGGGAATTCTTCAGGCTTATTTCATTTGTTTCCTGTTTCTGTTCATTGTATCATTAATCATTGTTCAGGGATCGATGTTTTCATTGCTTCATCTCCACTATCTTGAAAAATCATTGTTTAATGTATTTTTTGTAATTTTTTTTAATTAAATCATTGCTATGTACATTAATGTAATCATGGGGTACAATGTGCTGGTTTTATATACAATTTGAAATATTTTCATCAAACTGGTTAATGTAGCTTTCATTTTATCTGTTTTGGTTTTTTTTGTTTCAGGTAAGAAGGAAATCAGTATCTGTTGTCCCCTTTGGCTGTAAGCAGATTGCAGCAGGGCTGCAGTGTGTGCTGCCCATTGGCTGGAATACATCTCCTGGGCTTAACTGCTTTCTTCTCAGCTTCATTTCCCAGTGTAGCCATCTCCTCCTCAAAGAAATCCTGCCTGGATCAATCAGCATGGATCAAATTTTCTGATGTGTCCACAGAACTCTGTTTTCTTACCGATTCTGTCTGAGTTTATAATTATCACTTTTTTGTCTGTTCTTTACTATACTTTAAGCTAACCAGGATCAGGGATCTTCTCCGTGTTTTTGTTTGTTTGTTTGTTTGTTTTTGGAGACGGAGTCTCCCTCTCTCATAGTCAGTAGAGTGCTATGACATCGTAGCTCACAGTAACCTCAAATTCTTGGATTCAGTTGATTCTCTTGCCTCAACCTCCCAGGTAGCTGGGACTACAAGTGCCTACCATAATGCCCAGGTACTTTTAGAGATGGGGGTCTCCCTCTTGCACAGGCTGGTCTTGAACTCATGAGCTCAGGCAATACTCCCCTCAGCCTCCCAAGTGCTGGGATTAAAGGCCTGAGCCACCACACCCAGCTGAGGTCTTGTCTGTTTCATCTGGAGCCTTTCGTGTTGTATGATGTGTGTATGTGTGGTGGTGTGTGTGTATAATCAGTGCAGAAATGAATAATGTTGAAATTTGTAGCACTTTATGTTCCAAAAGGACTCATTTATGTCATTTCTCTCTTTTTTCACCCCAATCTAGATAATGCTAGTATGTCAGAAATACAGCAAGCACTTCTTTCCTATGAAAGAATAATAAAGAATCAGGGAAGTCACTGTGAACAACTTAAAGTAAAAATTAAAAAATTGGAAAATGCAGTTTGTGACCTACAAAAGGAACTCTCTGTAACAGAAGGTGTAAAATCACAGTTAGAACACCAAAACACTGAAAGGGAACAAGAACTCTGCAATTTAAGGTATGACATTCTAGTTTTAAAGTACTGTTTGTACTCTTTACTTTGGACTAAAAATATGTAGGTGAATTTTTATAACTGCTGACTTAACTGTAACTTCTGAGGGTTAATGGAGAGAAATCATCTTAACCTTGTGCAGTGTGAAATTATTGGAAAAATATAACACTTTCTGAACTATTGATATGTGTACTGATAATTACATGAATATTCTTTTAAATCATAATTTTAATGGCCATATAGAAGTCTAGCATTTAGTAATCTCAATATTTATTAAATTGAATTTCATATTTTTAACATTTTATATTCTAATTAATAGTTCAAGGAACATTAGATAAATCTCTCTGTGTTTTTCTAATTATTAACTTTGAATAAATCTTTTTAATGTAAAACTATTTGGCTAAAGTCTAAGAATATAGTGAGAGGGGACTCTGATCAATATTTCTAAATTGTCTTTAAGAAAGTGTACATGAATTAAATTCAAGCAGTACAGCATGTATTGGCGATTTTTCTCAGCCCAGAAAATTTTTTAAAGATCTTCATGTGTTTTTTCTTTTTTTATGTTTTAATTGATTTTATTTTAATCAATCTTACAGAAATATTTGCATATAATTAATGCACAATAAACTACATCTATTTTAAGTGTCAAAAATATACATATCATTTTGCTTCGTGTTATCTAGATGTTAAGAGGCAGTTTCTGCACAATCTATCCCCATTTTATCTTTATAACTCATTCACCCTCCTATTACGCCTATGCCACAGGTCAGGCATTCCTGGCCACACCATGGACCTGCACACCTCTGTCCTTTGCACTTGTTGTGCTGTCCATCTGGCATGCCCTATCGACTCAAAGTTTAGGGCTCACCTCGATGTTACACCTTTGAAGCCTTCCATCTCTACTCCCACTAGGCAGAATTGAATACTCCCTGTCAAATGCTAGTAAATTTCTTTTTTATACCTACATTAGAACATTTCTCTAATCAGGTTGTGTACATATATTTCTGTGTCTATTTTCCTTACTGAATTTGAGAATTTAAAAGAATGGACTATAGTGTTTTCGTCCTTACATCCCTTATATGTAAGTCAGTATGGAAGACCCAGAAATATATGAATAGACAATTCATTTAGCGTTTACTAAGCTTTAATACTCATCAGTAAGAACCAACATTTATAACTTACCCTTTTCAGTAGCAAAGAGTAACGGAGTAAACCACACTAAAACTGTGGGTTTTCCTTTTACTGCCTGGTATGGTTGTAGATTCCCCTTCATGGATGAGGGAGACAGATAGAGAAAGGCCCAGGAGAAGACCAGCATTAAATCAATTCCAGATTGAGTTTAGGAAGGTATTATGATTCTAAATATTGGTCCATTTTCTCTACATCTTCATATTTGGGGGAATATATTTTCTTGTAGTATCATTGAGGATGTTTTGTATTTCTCTACTATCTATTGTTATTTCCCCTTTATCATTTCTGATCGACGTTATTGGAGATCTTATTTTTCTGTTTCTTGTTAGTCTGGCCAAGTGTTTATCAATTTTAGTAATCTTTTCAAAGAACCAACTTTTTGTTTTATTGGTTTTCTGAGTGATTCTTTTGCTTTCAATTTCATTTAATTCTTCTCTCATTTTAGTTATTTCTTATCTTCTGCTAGGTTTGGAGCTAGATTGTTTTTCCTTTACCAGCTGTTTGAGATGGCTCATTAGGTTATTGACTTGCTGTCTTTCTGTTTTCTTCATGAAGGCATTTAATGCTATAAAATTCCCTCTTAAGACCCCCTTTGCAGTATCCAACAGGTTTTGATATCTGTGACTTCGTTATCATCTTGTTTAAGAAAGCTGTTGATTTCCTTCTGAATCTTGTCTTTGACTCAGCTATTGCTCAGCATGAGGTTATTTAGTTTCCATGACTTTATTTGGGTATGAAGATTTCTGTTATCATTGAGTTTAGTTTTTATTCCACTATGGTCCAAGAAGATACAAGGAATAATGTCTATTTCTTTCAATTTGTTGATGTTAGACTTGTGTCCTAAGAGATGTTTAATTTTGAATTTATCTGTGGCCCAATGAGAAGATTGATCCCATTTTGTTGGGATGAAACATTCTGTATATGTCTGTTAAATCCAGTTGTTTAGGGGTTGGATTTAGGTTCATTATTTCTTTGTTTGGTTTCTGCTTGCAAGATCTGTCCAGTACTGTCAAGAGAGTATTAAAATCTCTAACTATTATCATCTGTGCAGGAAGATATCATATTGTTCAGATCATTTAGGGATTGTTTTATAAATTCAGGAGCATTCAAGTAGGGTGGGTTAATGTTAATTATCAAAATCTCTTCATGTTGTGTGCTTCCCTTGACCAGTATTTAGTGTTCATCCTTGTCCTTCCATATTTCTGTTGGTTTAAATCCAATTGTATCTATAAATAAGATTGCAACCCTTGCATTTTTCTGATTTCCATTTGCCTGGATTATTATTTTCCATCCCTTAATCTTGAGTCTTGTTTTATCCTGTAAGGTTAGTTGTGCTTCTTGGAGACAACTGATATCAGGCCTGAGATTTTGCATCCAGTCAGCCAGCCTGTGCCTCTTTAGAGAGGAACTCAAGCCATTCACATTTATTGGGAGAATTGATAGGTATGGCAGAGTTTTGCTCATCTTGATTTTCAGAGGTTGAGAGCTTACTATTATCCCTCGCGCCATGGTGGAAGCTAGGCTTTATTCTTTAATTTCTGTGTGTGTTTACTTTGGCAATGGACCATCATGCTGGTCATTATGACAAAGGGGTCTTAGTATGTCCTGCAGAGCTGGTCTAGTTATGGCAAATTTTGTCAACATTTGCATGTCAGTAAAATATTTCATTTCTCCATCAAAAAAATAAACTTGGTTTAGCAAGATATAGTATCCTGGGCTGAAAATTGTTTTGTTTAATAAGGTTAAACACCAATGACCATCCTCTTCGGGCTTGAAAAGATTTAGCTAAAAGATCTGTGGTCATCCTGATATTTTTCGCTTTGTAGGTAAAACTTTTCTTATGCCTGGCTGCTTGCAGAATTTTATTCTTCATATTAACTTTGGCAAAGTTAATTACAATGTGTCTAGGAGATGCTTTTTGGATTTTATTGTGCTGGGTTTCTGAAACTATCTACTATTTGAAATTCTGCATCTCTTGCAATGTTTGGGAAATTTTCCACCACAATGTCATGGAGTAGGGCATCAGTGCACTGAGGACCACCTTATAAGACAGATGTTTAATCTTTTGTAGCGATCTCCTAACTCAGGGAATATTCTGTTTCTGTTCTTTTATCTGCCTCTCTTGGAATGATTGGGATAGGTCAAAAGTTTTGTCTTCAATTTCTGAAATTCTTTCTTCTCTACATTCTACTCTATTACTGAGGGTGTCTACAGTGTTTTGAAGCTCCTTGGATGACTTTTTCAATTTCTAAGCTCTGCTATATCTTTCCTTATTATGTCCATATTCATGGTGACTTTGTCATTAAATTCATTAATTTCCTTAGACAAACTTTGGACTATGTTTTGGATTTGTGTTTTCATCTTTTCCTCAATTCCAATCATCTTATTTGCCATCCATATTCTGTATCCTATTTTTGACATTTTACCAATTTCCCTATGGATGGTTTTTTCTGCTATATCTTCCTTGTACTGGAGAGTTGTAGTACACTCTTGTGGGAGTTGATATGCCCCGGGGGTTTTTTGTTGCCAGAATTCTTCTGCTGGTTCCACCCCATGAGTATTTTCATTTTTAAAAAATACATTAATTGTTCTTTTTTAGTTGAAATGATAGGTTGTCCTTGAATATTGAGAGATAATCTAATTGGGGACCCTTAGGAAACTCTGCCCTGCCCTATTTGGCAATTACAGCTGGCAGGGTACAACCGTATCAGAAGTCTCCAGAAACTGAAGCTAACCACCTCTTCCCCAATGAGCTGGAGCTTTTGCTTGTGGACTTTCCCCTACAGCCTTACAAAATTCCCTTTCAGGGTTGCAGCCAGAGTCTGAAAGGGCTGGTTTGTTGAGGTAACACAACTTGGCTCTGTCCTAGTGTCAGTGGCCCTCTACCTGATCCTAAAGCGTCTCAGTATTTAGCTAGAATCTCCACTGGATAAAGACACCTGTGGCCCCGATAGCAGCAGGAGGGATCCACATATAGACCCACTGAATGCGCCCCTCACTGCTCTAATACCCAACCACAACTCAAACAAAGTCAAATAAGTGATGAACTGGAAGCCTCAGACAGTGGCAGCTGGAGACCCCTCAAATAAGTTCAGAGGGTGACCAGGTAGCCAGCAAGTGAGAATCCATGCACAGATCTGACCAAGAGTTCCCAGGGTGAGGGTGGTGGGGAGGAAGTGTCTCTTCTAGTGGGAAAAGGAGTCAGGAGAGATCACACCTCCCCACACCAATGTTAGAGCTGCAGCTCCACTGTTTCCATATCTCTACTCAGCAGCCCACACAATGCATTACCCACCAAGCACTCTGGCCTCTGCAGGGGCCTTCCATTAGGCAACCTGATAGAGGAAAGGGTGGGCTGGGGGGCTTAGGACTGAGGGGAGAATGTTTGTTCCCTTTTGCACCAGGAAGGATGGGGACTGGACTCAGAGGTGGAACTTCCCAGGTGTAGGAGGACCAAGACCATGCCATTCTCTCCCAAGAGATGAGTTGTGATGTCTTTTGTTCCCTGACACTATGCACAGAAAGTCCACATCAGGCCTCTCATTTGGGGAGACAGTCTCCCCATAGCAACAGGTGCCTTCCAACTAGTCACTCCATACTTAATCTTTGTTATCTTTCCTTGTTTTTCCTGGCCTCACAGCTTCTCAGTGGGGATGATGTGTACCTTGATTTCTTCTCCTTGTGTTCAACTTCCTACCTTTGGCTTCTCACAATTCATTTCAGTTCAATTTCTCTCACTCTGGACAGGAGCTTCTGGCAAAGCTGCCTCTAATCAGCCATCTTGGCCTCTCTCCTCTATGATTTTTTCTTGGTATACATGGGATAAAAACTAAAGTGGAAGGTATTATTGATTAGTTTATGCAATGTTTGTCTGTCTGTCTGTCTGTGTCTCTCAATCAGTCTATCTATCTATCTACAGTACAGATAACATTAACACAAAGTTCTATGATGAAAACATGTAGGCAATCCTTGCGTTATGACTGAGATAGGTTCTACAGTTTTGTTTTTATGTTGAATCTGTATGTAAGTTGAAACAAGTATATTTACCTAGTACCTGTATAGCATCCATTCATAAGTGCAAATTACACGTAAGTCAGATGTTTGTATCACAGGGACTGCCTGTAGTATCCTTTACTGTTTAATTAGCTATTAGATTTTTGTCTTGTTTCAAGACAAAATTTGTCTTGAAATTTGGTTTTTTAAATTGTTTTAAAATTGTTTTTAAATTTAAAATTGTTTTTAAATTGTTTTAAATTGTTTTTTAAATTGTTCATAAAAACCATAATGATTAACAAGATAATTTGAAAGTATTATTCAAAGAGAGGAACATAGAAAGTGTAGTGTCGGGCATGGTAGTTCACACCTGTAATCCCAGCACTCTAGGAGGCTGAGGTAGGTGGATTGTGTGAGCTCACAGGTTCAAGACCAGCCTGAGTCAGAGTGAGACCTAATCTCTCAAAATAGCCAGGTATTATGGCAGGTGCCTGTAGTTCCAGCTACTTGGGAGGCTGAGGTAAAAGAATCACTTGAGCCCCAGTGTTTGAGGTTGATATGAACTATGATGCCACCACACTCTACAGAGGGCAACAAACTGAGACTCTGTCTCAAAAAAAAAAAAACAAAAGAAAGAATGAATGAAAAGAAAGGAAGAGTGGGGTAAGACTAGACTATGGTAGACTTAGCCTAGTCTTGGATTGTAGTAATCTGCAAATGAGTGCTGTATGAAACTCTTCTGAAGGTGTTCTCTTACACAGCACCTCATTTTTAAGGATACCTGCCCTAAATGAAAATTTATTTCTAGTTAATTTGAGTTTTTAATTAGTTAACTCTAACTGATCTGTCTGCAGTTGGTAACTTGTAACTTTACTGAATAATTTCATATTTTCATATTTACCTGAATGACTAGTAACATAAACTTACCAATTAGCAGATGTTCTTCCATATCTGATTTTCAAGTAAATATGTCCTTTGAGGGAGACTGAAATGAGAAATTGAAAACCTGATAATAATTCAGGAAAAACATTTCAGAACATAGATGTTCTTGAATAAGAGGAACTTTTCATTTTCTAACAAAATAAGTTTAAGATAAGTATATTTAACTGCAGATTATCCTTAGAAGAAGAAAAAGAGAAGAGAACCAATGCTGATGTAGACTGTGAAAAAATGAGGAGAAAGTTAAGAAGGATAGAAGAACAATATATGGAAGAAGTTAAAATGAAACAACAGCTTCAAAAGGCTCTGAGAACACAAGATGCGGAAGTGAAGAGTCTCAAAATTAATTTGAATGAGGTAAATTAATCTTTGGTAACAATTTCATATTTCTAATTTCATCACATCAATATTATGTATAATATCTCTTCCATTTCATATACAGGGTAGCCATAAAGTCCATGTGCGATTTTAGATCTCACACTATTTTGAATTGCACACAGACTTTATGACCATCTGTATGTGTTATTTTTGTCTCAAGTAAAACCAAAAAGGTTACTTCATCTTAAAATGAACTGCCACTTATCACAAAAATTACTTAGTCTAAATCTTGGCCTCCAACTTGTATTTTATTTTTGTATGAAGAACTTTTGACAATATTATAATAAATATGTACAGATAATTAATAAGTATTTTGTTGCTAGTAAAATAATGCAGTAAGATATTTCACATTTATTACTGTTTGAAACATGAACAGGAAACAAAAGTTATTACAATATCAGATAAACTCATAATTTTCTAAGAAGAATCTTATAAAATTTATTTATCATTAGTGCTTTGAAACATAAGGACTCTTATGTATTTATACATGTAATTGAACCACAGGGGTAACTGTGATTCAGTAGAGAAGCTCTAGCAAAGGTAGAGTCAGGAGATTTGGGGGGAAATCTTAAGATTGTTTATATTTTTAACCACTCCTTTTCAGAATTATGATAAACAAAGAGATTTGTGATATATGTAGAAATAAATAAATACAATGTCAGATTTATCATTTATCAATAAATGTAATACTTGTGACTGACCACAAAACTGTTAGAAAATTAGAAAATATATAGATTCTTCTCAGGGAAAAAAGGGGAAGTGAAAAAATTTGGGGAGTTCATGACTAGCCTGGGCAACAGCAAGACCCCATCTCTTAAGAAAAGAGAAAAAAAGAAAAACGAATAGCGGAGTGTCGTGGCAGGTACCTGTAGTCCCAGCTGCTCAGGAGACTGAATCAAGAAGATTGCGTGAGCCTCAGAGTTTGAGGTTGCTGTGAGCTATGACACCCTGGCATGCTAACAAGGGTGATGAAGTGAGACTCTGTCTCATAACAACAACAAAAAAAAATTGGAGAAATTTTATTTGTCCAAACATGTGCCGAACAAAGGCTCTGACCATGGGATGGTATTTAAGTTACATATTAGAGTGGGAAGACAACTTTTTAATGTAGTCAAAGATATTATATTAATTTTTTGTGGCTTTGGATTTGTAGTAATTCAGAAAAAGGCTATTCTGATTCTGAGATTCTTAAGAATTCTGTGAGGGTTTCCTTTTTGCTTTTATGAATTCATTTTTTCAAATAAATGTTTGAATTTTTTGGAATTTATGGTTTGAGCTTTTAATAAAACTTTTTGTCCAGTTAGATATCCATTGACTGCAATCTTTTCTTTGTCCATGTAAGTGATTCTTTAATTTCGGAGAAAATAACATGTCATTTTATTGAGTAGTACCTGAAAATTTCCTTTGTTTTACTCAGATTTCCCATAGTGGTGAAAAAGATAAAGATCTGTTGTATGAAAATCGCCTGTTGCAGGATGAAATTGCCAGGCTAAGAATGAAAGTTGACCTTATAAAAACACAGACTCAGGAAAAGAAACCGGAATCTTTAGAGGACATTGAAACTATAAAAGAGCTCCGCAATAGTATAAAACTGAAGAAGGAAAGATTAGCAGAAGCCATGTCTGAACAGAGTGGACAGCTCAGGTTGCTCAGATCAGAGAACACGCTGCTAAAGTTTGAAGTGGATTTTGAGAAACGAGAGAAGGAAAAACTGAAAACCGAAGTCCAGTCAAACCTTCACAAACTGGCTGCTGTTCTAAATGATCTCCACCAAAGCCAGAAGTCACAAAAGGACTTGGAATTCTCCTTCCAGAAAGCAAGAGACGAATGGTCTGTTGTACAAGAAAATATGAGCTCTTACTCTCATATTCTCTTTCAAAAACTTGTTGAGGCTGAAAGAAAATTCAATAGCCTAGAAGTTGAGCTCTCTAACACAAAAGATGTTCTGAGACAAAAGACTTTGGCTTTAGAAGGTGTGCAGAGAGACCTCAGCCAAGCAGAATGTGAAAAGAAGGAAATAGAGCTAAAGTATCACAATGAACAACGTAAAATGAATACATACCTTGCAGAAGAGGAACTGGCAGAGGAGCGATTAGCTGCGCTGCGAAGCAGAAATACCTTGCTTCAGCAGCAACTCAGTCATGCTCAGGACAAAGCTGATAATAAAGAAAAAATGATCATTGATATCCAGACCCAATTTCAGGCTACTGTAAAAGAACTTCAAGCTAAGAGTGAACGCCAAAGACTTCTTCTAGAAGCAAGAAATAAAGACTTAACCGCTAAATGCAGTCATTTAAAAGAAAGGCAGAATCAATATAAAATAGAAAGGGCAGAAAGAGAAGTAAGTATCAGGGAAGATAAATATTTTTCTAAGTTCCTTAAGGAAAATTTAAAGTAATAATGGTTATGGCTAAATGTTGAATCTAGTTGAATATAAAATAGATGATAAATATATTTGATATATTAGTTTATTTTTTATTATTTGTTTTTTTTTTGTTGTTGTTGTTGTTGCAGTTTTTGGCCGGGGCCAGGTTTGAACCTGCCACCTCTAGTATATGGGACCAACACCCTACTCCTTGAGCCACAGGCATTGCCCTTGATATATTAGTTTAGAAACATAGCTTGCCTCTGGCAAATAGTTAAAGCTGAAAGATGTTTTACTTTGAATAAATACATTATGTCACTTACGAAATTATATAAGTTTCTTTCACATTGTTAATCAGTAAAGACTCACATTAATAATGTGCTCCTTAAATGATGATTTTGATGTCTTTCTGTTGCCTCATGTTAATACTGTGATGAAGGAGATGAATAGAAATTCTCACACCTGAAATGAGTATTTTGAAAGTAAAATTCAAATAGGTTCCTTTGGTAGTGAGTTCCAGGTTTCCCAGATGCACTGAAGTGTATAGCTATGTCTTTTACTGTCTCTCCGTCAGTAGCTTCTCTATTGTTAGTTGGTCTCAAATTACTTTTATTCATGTCAATTTAACATAAACCTGAAGATATGTCAACCTCAAATTATGTACTTTATATGACCTCTCAATCCTTTAAAGGCATCTACTTTTAATTAAATCACACTTTGGGACAAATGTGTTGTATTTTAACAAACATATTTGATTTAATCTTCTCATTAGAATTTATAATTTATTTTTAATATTTTTATAATTAATGTGCCCATAGTTTTTGTTTCAGGGCTCAATGACCTTCATTTGGATACACTGGATACAACTTTGTCCAGTACAAGAATAACTGTAGCTGTCTGTGACTTCATGGTTTGGCACTGAGTCCCCATTTTCAGAATAGTGAGAGGTGGATGGATTCACATCTAGTGGGAATGCAGTGAGTAGGGGAGAGAGTTTTAGGAGTCTGGGAGGGAGGTAGAGGCCAGGTTACCCTAGAGCCTCCAAGACCACTAGACTTTTATCTTTTGTTCTAAGAGATCTATTAGAAGGGTTTGAGCAGAGGATCGAATATATGAGGAATTCTGAGGTTGATTTTACCTTTTAATAAAGAAGAGGAAAGATACTTCACAGTGCAGAATTTACTCTTGCCAGTCTCACCCACAAACCCGGTTTCTTTGTGAGACTTTGGTATGTTGTTAAGCATTGCACATTCTCCAGGGAATGATTCACTGAACTGATTCTCCCAACTAAGTAACAGAATACCAATTTAACAGGAAGATAACACCTTCTGTGTCTGCAGCAGAATTAAGTAATAAGCAGGAATGTGTACACAATGGGAAAAGAAGGAGAATGGATATATGTGATGGTATTTTCCAAAGCACATGCCTCAATGTTAAATGTTATTAACAGAATTTTATAATACAGTTACTTATGATATCAGTAACAAAAATATCTTATTAGGTAGTTGTGAGACAACTTCGTAGAGAACTGGCTGAGGCACTACACAAACTACCTAGATCAGACGCCACACTAGACATTACGTCACGCTGCCACATTCATTCAGAAGACACAGCTCGGGCCAAGAAAAAATGCAGTCAAATCACAAATAAAGTACCTATGGAATTTAACATGTCAACAGTTGAGATATAGCTTGTTGAGAAATGAAAATTGTTTGGGAATACTAGTGTAGGTAATAGCTTTCTTTCATATTTTATTATTATTAATTTTATTACAATTTATTATCCTTAAAATGTACTTATTTCTTGAATTCTGACTTTCATCCTGACATTTTTATAATTACATGTACATATGTGTATGTGGACATATATATGTACCATACATACCCTTAGGAAAGTGAGAATTATACATAATTTTCTCATTGCATTTGAGAGTCTGTGTTCCTTCTGCACAGTGTATTTTAGTGATTTCTGCATTGTCTTGGTGAAACAGGCCAGACTAAATCAGAAAATGTTTAATTGAATGCTCTGGGAAATTGTCTTAATTTTATCTTCACTTCTGTAAATGGAAACCAAATCTATTATTCCTTGGATTTCAAGTTAACTGGTACAGGAATGCAATTATGCAGGTATTCAAAGTGCAGATTTGGGGGTTAATATTTTGTGTCACCATAGATGTGCCTCATCTGGACATTTTGTGTAAACAGTCATGTGATACGTCATCTTTCATGATGGGCTTCTTTCACTTATCATTGTTCTTTTATGGCTTGTCTCAACTGTAGCTTGAATCAGGAAGTCATTTCTTTCTACTGCCAGAAAAAGTGAACTCTCTGGCTATACCAGTTATCAGTTCCTCAGTCAGTAGACCTTTGGGTCCTTCCACACTTAACGATGCTGCTATAGACATTCATCTACAAGTTGTGTGGGCACATGTTTTAGCTCCCCTGCCACTGGGCTTCATTATCAGAGGTGACTAGCTGTCTTCAGCATCTCTCTGCCTTGCCCTTGCTTTCAGTCCTCCCTGCCTCATCCAGCTCTGGTCATCTAGCCCTATCCATTCAGACCTGGCACACAATCTCCCCTTCTTTGTGAAGCTTTCTCTGTTCTCTCATTGACCATACATTTCAGTAGCTATGTCTAGTCTGTGTGAAACAATTTAGACTTTAACCATGCATTGCTTTTATTTTTTACAAGAAAGTTCTTTTTTTTTTTTTTTTTTTTTTGAGGCAGAGTCTCACTCTGTCACCGTTGGTGGAGTACTATATCATCATCATAGCTCACAGCAACCTTAAACTCGTGGGCTCAACTGATTCTCTTGTCTCAGCCTCCTGAGTAGCTGGGACTCTAGGAACCTGCCACAATGCCCAGCTATATTTAAAGACAGGGTCGCGCCCTTGCTTAGGCTGATCTGGAACTTGTGAGCTCAGGAAATCCATCTGCCTCGGCCTCCCAAAGTGCTGGGATTACAGGCGTGAGCCACCGGGCCCAGCCCCGATAGTTCAATCTTGTCTAATTATACTTTTGCCTAAGGAGAAACTAATATCTGAACTAATATCTCAGCATGTCATTTATCCTTGTTTATATTTAAAATATTTTAGCTTAACAGTTGTTAGGGTAAAATTAAACACTGTATACCATATCAATACTTTCTTCTTTGAGACATTGACCTAATAAAGCTTTTAGTTGAAATGTATTTTAAGTAATTAAATATAAAATTGAAACTACTTTATCTTGTAGAGGAGAATTATTCAAACCAAAAGCCTGTGATTTTCTCACTTTTACTAAAAGTCTGAATTTCCCTGCCTTAATTATGTAGCCAGAACCATGACTTGTAAATTGATGCCACGTTACCAATTGGAAAGTTCTGGTTCCAGGTCTTCTGATCTCTGCGTGAATATGGACAGTTAGTGTTTCCCAACATACATCTGTCTACCCTCTCCACTGGAAAAACAAAAATAGGGTTATACAAGGTCAGAAAAAGGTTTGCTTGAGATGTTTGGGCTGGTCAAGTGAGCATTTGGCCAACATGGCTTTGTCTTGGATAGTTTAATTGTGATGTTTAATGGACATCCTCACACTTTAAGTTGACACTTCAAGGATAAATTCTTTCCTGGTTATGACTTGATCCTTGCCACTTGATGGGAGAATCAGCAGAAACGCGGCATCTTATTTGGAAATGACATTCTCTAATGTAATTGTGTTCCTGTATATTTTTATAATTTTATTTTTCTTTCACTGAAAAGGACAGATGATGCTTAGTTTTTAGCATTAAAAGTGTACAAGTTCCTTTGTCCCAATAAAACTAAATGTGCATACAAAAAAGAAAAAAGAAAATAATAAATGATGCAATGGTGCTTGGAATTCAAAAATATAAATGCTTACCAAAAGGTATTTTTTTATCTTTCCCCATTTTACCAATGTTATAAATTTTAGTACTGATAAGATACCATTAAAAAACAAGACTAGTGTGTTTTGGTCCTAGAGTATGGGTCAGCACACTTGTCTGTGAAGGGCCAGATACTATTATTTTAGACTTTGTGAGGCATAAGATCCCTGTGGCAACAATTTGACTCTGCAGTTCCATTGCAAAATAGTTCCAAACAATATAGTGCCTGAAGGGGTGATTTCGTGAATCAATAAGCTTTAGATACAGGTAATGGGCAAGATTGTCCTAGATTATTTTGTATATAAAAAGGTGGTCATAGTCTAAAAATAATATTTTATATATGACACATTTTGATCATCCATTCTGCCATTGATGGACATTGGAGTTATTTCCAAATATAAATTTTTTTTTAATTTCTTGTTGTAGTTGCAAGAAGCCCAGGGGCAGCTCACAGTGACTGTAAGAGATGCTACAAGGGATGACTACATGAAAAAGTATGTTTAACATGGCACAGAAAATAACCAAATCAGCAGCAAAGTGTGAGATTGTGTCAGTTATGACAATAAGTACATTTGTGTGAAGCTAAGCAATAATTTCAGCATTAAGTTGTTTTGAAATGCACGTTTCTCATACATTATTCTTAAATTTTGTATTTTATTCACACCATCCAGCTAGAAAAATGAAGTAGTTGGCCAAATCACCTACTTTCAAATATTTAAAAATTTATGTAATTATACCTTCAGATGTTTAGTCAGAAATTACATGGTAACGTTAAAATTTTTTATGAGAATAATCATTTTAAAATACACATTTTAGGCTTGAAGAAGAAAACTTCAAGTTAAAAGTTACAATCAGAGAGCAAGAAGGCAGAATGGAGCAGCTCCAGGAGACCCTGTCAAGTACAAGATCTGTACGTCAGACTGGAAAGGGGTTTCATGTCTCTGAGACTCCAGCTTCAGTAGTGATCATGCAAAATGTTGGGGACGAGAACTGTTTCATGGTTTGGAATATTAGAATATACTTAATAGAATATGTTGGGTCTGAGATCCAAGTCCTCACATGAAGTTCATTTCTATTTTTATACACACCTATGCATATAGTCTGAGGTCAATTTTATGCAATGTCTTTTTGATAATTTGTGCATAAAACAAGGTCTTTAGTACCGGTATGTTTTTGCTGCAATTTGTCACGAGGTCAGGTTTTGAATTTTCCACTTGTGGCTTCATGTCCAAGTTTCAGCTCTTGAAAGATCTGGGAATTTTGATGTCAAGATTTGGGATGTTCAGCCCTTAGTACACCTGCTTCTTCACTCATAGCTGGGGTTACATCCTAATAAACACGTTATAAATTGAAAATATAAGAAGAAAATTCATTTAATACACTCACCCTGCCTGGTGTGGTGGCTCACTCCTATAATCTAGCATTCTGGGAGGCTGAGTTGGGTGGATTGTCTGAGCCTCAGGAGTTGGAGATGAGCCTCAGCTAAAATGAGACCCCATCTCTAAAATAGCCGGGCATTGTAGCAGAGATCTGTAGTCCCAGCTATTCGGCAGGCTGAGGCAAGAGGATCACTTGAGCCCAAGAGTTTGAAGTTGATGTGACCTAATGACGGTGCCATGGCACTCTACCCAGGGTAACAAAGTGACACTCTGTGTCCAAAAAAAAAAAAATAGGCCCAATCTGTGACCATCATAGCTTAGCCTGGCCTTCCTTTAATATGCTCAAAACTTCTTCCTACAGTTGGGTAACATCCACCTACCACAAAGTCTATCTTATAATAAGGTATCAGATATCTCATGTACCACATGAGAAAAGAGCAGAGATTAAACTTAAAATACATTGAAATCACAATGGTTTGAAACCATGATAAAGTCACAAAACTATGATTTGGACCATAGTGAGTGTGTCAAAATTGCAATGGTTCCCTACTATCACAAAGTTGAATAATTGAAAATCAAACCATTGTAAGTTGAGGACTATTCTTATATAAGAATATTTTAGACAATATGACAGTAAGAATTGAAAATCAAACCATTGTAAGTTGAGGACTATTCTTATATAAGAATATTTTAGACACTATGAAGTGCTGATAAAATATTTATTATATTCACGTTGATATTACTGAGTACTAGTAGTTTAAATCTTAATTTAATTTAATTTTTTTAATTTTATTTTTGGGGAATCATTGAGTGTACAATGAGTCAGGTTATACTGCTTGTGTTTGCTAGGTGAAGTTCCTCTATTAATAGTGTCTGCCCCCCAGGAGGTGTTTACTACACCATGGCCCCCACCCCGTCCCTCCTTCCCTCTCTCCTCTCCCCTATTCCGTCTCCTCCCACCATATACTCGTGTATCAATTGTCCTCATATTAGAATTGAGTACATAGGATTCTTGCTTCTCCATTCTTGTAATGCTTGACTAGGAAGAATGTATTTCAACTCCATCTGAATTAATACAAAAGATGAAAAGTCACTATCGTTTTTAGTGGCTGTATAGTATTCCATAGTATACATATACTACAGCTTGTTAATCCATTCCTGGATTGGTGGTTTTTTCCACAATTTGGCGATTCTAAATTGAGCTGCAATAAACAGTCTAGTGCAAATGTCCTTATGATAAAATGATTTTTTTTATTCTGAAAAATCCCGGTAATGGGATTGCAGGATCAAATGGGACGTCTAGTTTGGGTTCTTTAAGGATTCTCCATACTTCCTTGCAAAAGGATTGCATTAGTTTGCAGACCCACCAGAAGTGTAAAATTTTTCCCTTCTCTCCACATCCACACCAACATCTGCAGCTTTTCTTTATTAGATCATAACTGTGTACATTATTGCATTTATGGGGTACAATGTGCTGACTCTATATACAATCTAGAATGTTCACATCAAACTGGTGAACATACCATTCACCTCACTCATTCAATTGCTGTATTTAGACATTTATACTCTACTGTCAATATATTTGACATGTACACTTGCACTATACACAGTAGGTGAGGTTTGAGCCTTTGTGATGTGGGTCAGTCTCACTGGGGATATCTCAGGGTGGTTTTGATTTGCATTTCTCTGATAATTAGGGATGATGAGCATTTTTCCATATGCTTGTTAGCCATTCATCTGTCTTCTTTAGAGAAGGTTCTATTCATCTCACTTGCCCATTGATATAGGGAATTGTTGGCTTTTATCATTGTTACTTTATTTGAGTTTTCTATGGATTCTAGTTATCAAGCTTTTGTCCAATTCATAATATGCAAATATCTTTTCCCATTCAGATGATTGTCTATTGGCTTTGGTTGTTGTCTCCTTAGCTGTATAGAGGTTTTTCAGTTTAATTAAATCCCATTTGTTTATTTTTGTTGCTATTAGAATTGCTACTGGAATCTTTTTCATAAAGTCTTTCCCCAGGGTGATAGCTTCCATTATTTTTCCTATGCTTTCTTTGAGGAGTTTTATTGATTCATGCCTTAGATTTAGATCTTTTATCCACCATGAATCCATTTTAGTGATTGGAGAAAGGTGCAGGTCTAGTTTCAATCTTTTCCATATGGGTATCCAGTTCTCCCAGCACCATTTATTGAATAGGGATTCTTTCCCCCTGTGAATGTTCTTGTTTGCTTTATGAAAGATGAGGTGGCTGCAAGATTTTAGTTTCATCTCATGGTTATCTACTCACTTCCAGATGTCTGTGCCAATACCATGCTGTTTTGATCAGTATGGCCTTGTAGTATAGCCTAAAGCATGGTAGGCTAATCCCTCTGGCCTTGTTTTTATTACTACAAATTACATTAGCTATATGGGGTTTTTTCTCGTTCCATACAAAATGAAAAACTTGTTTCCCAAAACTTTAAAGTATGATGTTGGTATTTTAATAGAGATTGCATTGAATCTGTAGATTCCTTTGGGAAGTATATACATTTTAACAGTGTTGATTCTTCCCAGCAATGAGCATGGTTATGTTCTTTCATCTGTTAATATTTAACTGAATTCATGAATCAATGGTTTTGGTGGTAAAATTTTAATTAAAATATATATGATCGTCTAAAAATAATGTCACATGTGCCACATTTTGTTTCTTCATTTTTCTACTGATGGACGTTTGTTATTTCCAAATGTAATTTTTTTTATTCTTACTTTTAGTTGCAAACACAACTGCTGCATGAGTTGACAGAGGCTAGAAGACTGGCTGGGAAGATGGAGGACCACATGCAAATGTACAATTTAAATCAAAATAACTTGAGTACTTAGAAAGCAAATAAGTCATATAGTATGAGATTGCATCAATGTGATAATAAATGCTTCTGTGTGAAGCCAAGAAAAAATTTTAGCATTAAGCTACTTTGAAAAGCATACTTTTGGCAGGGCATGGTGGCTCACACCTGTAATCCTAGCATTCAGAGAGGCAGGTATATTGATAGAGCTTATGAGTTCGAGACCAACCTGAGCAAAAGCAAGACTCTATTTCACTAGAAATAGTAAAACTGAGGCAAGAGGATCGCTTGAGCCCAAGGCTTATAGGTTGCTATGAGCTATGACACCACAGCACTCTACTCAGGGTGACAGCTTAAGACTTTGTCTCAAAAAAAGAAAAGATAAATGCACACTTTTGTGTATTATTTCTAAATTTTTCAAATTATTCATGAAACGCAGCTAGAAAAATGATACAGTTTTCAAATCTCCTACTTTTCAAATCTTTAAGAATTCATGAAATTATGCCTTCAGGTCTCTATCCAGCATTACATGATAACTTTAAAATTTTTTTATGAGAATAATTATTTTGAAATGTTCATTTTAGGACTGAAATAGAAAATTCCCAGCTAAAAGCTAGAAGCCAAAAGCAAGCAGACCGACTGGAGCAGCTTCCATGTCTCCCGTCAAGCACAGGGTCGGTAAGTTAATCTCTAAGTTTCTGTCATATCACAGCGGGATTCTGCTTCTTCAGCAGCCCAGGTTGAGTACCTGTGCAAAATGCTTGGGACCAGGAATGTTTCTTATTTGTGTACACACAATGAGATATCTTTGGCTGGAAGTCAAGTCTAAACATTCATATTTACCTATGCACATAGCATGAAGACAGTTTATACAAGGTTTGTAAATAAATTTTGTGCATGAAACATGAAACAATGTATTGAGTGTTTTCACCACAACTTGCCACATGAGATCAGGTGTTGAATTTTCTTTTTTTTTTTTTTATTAAATCATAGTTGTGCACATAAATGGTATCATTGGGTACAGTGTGTTTTTTCTATATACAATTTGAAATATTTTCATCCAATTGGTTAACATATCCTTCATGTTATTCTCATAGTTGTTGTGTTAAGACATTTACATTCCACATTTAGTAAGATTCACATGTACTCTTATAGGATAAATCTTAGGCATGATCCCAGCAATCACCCTCCCTCCACCCATCCTCCCACCTCTCCTCGCCTCCCTCTCCCCTTTCCCCATGTTCTTGGGCTAAAATTAGGTTATAGCTTTTCTATGATAGCTAAAAATTAGTTTCATAATAAGGTTGAGTACATTGGACACTTTTTCTTCCACTCTTGAGATACTTTGCTAAGAAGAATATTTTCCAGCTTCTTATGGTACTACATCCACACTCAAGACATTTCAGAATGTGAAACATTTTGGATTTCTGATTTTCAGATTGGAGATGCTCAAACTATAGTACAGATGCCCCTTGCCTTATGAGGGGGTTTTACCCCAGTAAGCCCACCAAAGGTAGGAAATATCACAGGACCACAGACCTACAGCTCCAGGATCTTCATCCTTACCCTGGCCTGGTTCACAGATTGGACGCTCCCTTGGACCCTATAACAGGCAGAGCTTGGCCATCAGCATCTTTGTACAAGCCCAGGCACAGGTCACCATGACAAGGAGGCCCCAGAGGTCTGGAGACTTAGCAATCACTGGCCAAGTTCTGGCCAGCACAAGGCACACAGGTCAGGCTGTGTCAATCTGCTCTCCGGTTCAGCTAACTCTGAAACCCCAAGAAAACAGGGCCTTACTGACCAAACCCTTTACTTCATTAGCTCATACTGCCACTGTGACCATAATTTTTGCACCATGAGTCCCACACTCACTGGGAGGCAGACGAAGTCAATAGACCCTATCTCTCGATGAAGAAGCTGAGACTAGAGAAGAGAAAGGAAATCCCCAGGATCAGGCATAGAAGGAACGACACATTCTCTACCGGAATCCACGTTTCATTGTTGCAACCACTATGGCTCTGGTCTTAGTCGCCACATGAAGGAAACAGGCATGACACGGATTAGAAGTACAAGCTTGCAGAAGGCAGGCTAACCTTAGGTGCAGGGTAGTCCTGAGCTCCCTCCGCAAGGGCTATTTATTAAGGTTCTACACAAAAGGCGTGGAGAGTTAAAGTAATGACATACACAACAGGTGTGGAGAATTAAGGTAATTACATTCGAGGGCTGCTTGCATAAGGATTGCCACGTGCACTTTCCCCTCATGCTCTTTCCCCACAACCCCCATGAAGAAGTACCAAGCATCAGCGTTTAACACATGCTTACTAGTGAGTGACTGATCTTATCTCACTCCAGAACACTGAGTTACTTGGGGGATTGCCCCTAAGTCACAATACATCTCTAGGCTTGCCAGGAGACTGTCCTGTTCTCAGCATTTCCTTTTAATGTGATAAGAATCAGTAACTGTCCGTGTAAGCATGGTGTCCATTCCTCTACATTTTTGATGTAAAACACCATCCCTTCGAATTTCCCTAAAATCCCCACCCTCCAGGTCACTAAAGGGCAAAAAACGGATGAGGAAATATGGTCTCCAGGATACGCCACTTAAAACTAAATTGTACTTAAATATACTTATTTAAAACAAAAATATTATTAGAGTCCAATGAAAGGGGAAAATTAGGGAAATAGAAAAAGCCACAAGAGTTGGTGAAAAGCTATATTTTTATTATAGAGAAGACTGAAACTTTCTTTTGTATCGTAAAATTCCTAGAAGGAAGGTGACATCCGATTCCCCTTTTAGATATTGCAGTTTCCATCATCATTATAACTATTAATAAACTGGTCTTTCAGATTATTAAGGCAGGATGGAATACAGCAACACTATTAGGAAAAGAAAAAGTGTGATTTAGCAATTAGACTACACTCTTGAAGGTTTGTAACTTAGACTGTTCAGGTTTTTTTACAAAGTCATTGATTCTAGTATTCTTTGCATTATGATTGCATGTGTACTAACAAAAACAATTCAAAAACTTCATATTTCATATTTAATCCTGAATTAAATTAATAATTTAATTTATAGTGATGATAAATATTTTAAATAATCTTATTTTTCACATATTTAAAATTGGTCTCTGAATCACTGACTCAAAAGTAAAGCAAACAAACAATACCTTAACTATCAAGGTTATAATTATTGTAAAAATGTATCCTTTTAATTTGTTTTAGACACAAATACCAGCTCTGGAAAACTTAGAACAGCCAAGAAAGAATCAAATAGCTTCATGGGGAAGTGAGATGGAGCTCGATGTTCCTGAGACGGAGCTCAGCATTGCAGATGTGCAGTCTGAACTCTCCAGAATACGAGAGTCTCAAAAACTAGAAGAATACACACAAGTTCGCATGAATGAATTACAGACCCTAAAATGTTTGTCAACTAAAGTATGCCAGTAAGTCAAAACTCAGAATCACAGAAAATGAATTCAGCTCATTAATTCATCTCCAACACATCATCATTAGTGAGACGTGTTCATGAGGTACACTCGATGTGGAAACTAAGTAATATAATTTGGAGAAATGATGTTAGTGACTAGACTTACCTATAAAATGCTGGTACAGGACAGTTTACATCTCTCTCCCTTTTTGGTTTATATGGCTTTTTTCCACTTACTATTCTCCTTTAGTTAACCTTATCTATTAGTCTTTCAGCTAAGTATTTTTTAAGCTTTATAATTTAGACAATGATATTGTTATAAGATTGTTTGTCAGCAGTCCCGTAAGTGGAAATAGTCATGAATTTAAGTATTTGGGGGGGAGATTACAACTTTAATCGAAAGGGTTCAAGTACTACTGCTTTCCTGGAACATTCTGGCACTCAGGAAATTAACTATGCCGAGAATTTTGCCACTCTGCATAAAGGCATACTTGTGAAATAAGGAACGATTAACATAGGGAGGAAGGGAGGTGAACTCACAAAGTAGTTTAAAAATACTGCCTTGGTCAGCCTGAGGGTCAGGTGTGTGGAGCACAGAAAGGACGGGCCTCGCCTCTGGTGCCTTGGTAACAAAGTTGGCAGCTGATTTTCTTTGGAGCTGCTTTCTTTCTTTTTCATCACTGACTCAGCCGTGTCATGCTCCCCTAGAAGTTATTCCTCAGCACCAAATGCTTAATTTTTCCCCAATAATGGGTGAAAGGTACAAGGGTGATGAAAACAAATGCTGGAAAATGTATCTGAAGGATAGTTGTCTAAATCTCTGAACCAGACTACTGAATAACAGTATTTCTAGCTTCTTTAAATTTTTAATTCTTTATTGTATATGTTTAAGGAGTACATGATGTTTTGACATATTTACTGTGTGTAAATAAGGAAATTATCATCAATAAAATTAACATAATCATCATCTCTCGTGGTTACCCATTAAATAGAATTTTTTTCTTTTGCAGTTTTTGGCTGGGGCTGGGCTTGAACCCGTCACCCCTGACGTATGGATGGGTACAGCACCCTACTCCTTGAGCCATAGGTGCCACCCTAAATACAAATATTACAATGGCAACTTTAAGAATCCTGTAGGGAGAGCCATTCTAGAAGGCAGAAGGTGTTCAGATGGTGTAATAGATCAGTAATTGGCATCTCTCTCTACTATTTACTTTGAGTTACTCCTTTGTTAGAAATACGTTTGAAAAAAATATACACACACACACATATATACACACACACATTTCTATATAATGATTTTTAAACTGTAATTGCATATAGTAGGCATGCTCTGACACATTTGTAGTGTTAAAACACTATTTACAGGAGAATTTTATTTCCTCTAATGGCAACTCCATAATTTTAAAATGTAAGTCATTTAGGAATCATTTAGGAAAAAATGAAATACTAACCTTTTGCCTTTTGTAATCATCACAGACTTCATGAGAATCTAGCAGAGGTCGAGACACAGTTGTCTGGGATAAAACAGATGGACAGATCTTTGCATACAACTCTTACCACAAGGCCAATCCTGGAAGCACGTCATCTTGAAAATCCTAATCATGCTTTAGTTATCCACTGAGAGCTCACTACAGTGCAGAAATGTGCAATCTCTCCCTCAAATCCTGAGATTTCTTCAAGTAGCCCTGAGAAGTACTTGGCTCAGGTTAGTTATATTATCATTTTTCCTTTGGGTTTCATATTTCTCATATAATTCTTGTTTTTCATTTGGTAGGATATTGAGTTGTTTATTTGACTTCTGCAAGTTAATTAAAGGTCATAATTACCTGGGAGAAAAAAAAAAAACACTATGGTGTATTTAAGTCCCTAGATGTCCCATTTTCAAGAGATATCCATTTGTTAACTTTATTCAAAAATGTCACTAATCTGAAACATTGTAGATTTCTTTAAAAACTATGTTTCAGTTATATTCCAGACATTGAGTATATGGCTATCTAATAATTAAATGTAAACTTTGACATGCTCTGGCTTACTTTCTAATTGATTATAATTTTTCTGTTGCCCATAATATTTTTTAAAGATTTCCTGCAACCATCTCAAGTTTTCTACCTATAATCACAAGGGAAAGATTAATGGCCAAACACTAAACATGTGTGGGTGTTTTGCATTTAAAGAAATCTAAGATAAATAATTTCTATGAATTAAATAAGCCTGTAATACCAACAAATATTTGTTTCAAAGTTAAATGTTTCACCACTTTCTTACATACGAGTAATTCCTTAATTGCTCTTGGACTTAGAGCTTTTTTACCTCAATTTTTGTAAAATGTGTCTTTTTCTGGGCAAGTGTACTATAGTTTTTTAAACAGTTAAATCAAGCTAATATTTGAACTTTTAAAATTAGTTCACTTTTATCTATTTTGTCATCACATGCATGACTGACAATTAAGATGGCAATGATATCAAGAGTGTTTAAATAGCAATGGCGGCCAAACAGAATGAATTAGAGTCTTTCTGCCCAGTACTCCATGCCACACATGGTCCCCATCTCCTCTGGGGTTGTCACAGGAACCTTGTGATTTCACTCATAGTAACAATTGATTTCTAGGGGTCTCAAAATGTATCTAATAATGACAAGCTATATCAATTGTAGAGTTGGTAAGGGGAAAAAATAGTTCAACTATGCCTGACCCTGTTTGCATTGTCTAACATTAGACCATTTTTCCAGGAGGTATAAAAACACAAAATCTGGGGACAGTGACACAGGCCTCAAGTCCCACCTATTTGGGAGGATGAAGCTGGAGGATCACTTGAGCCAAGAAGTTCAAGGCTGTAGTGTGCTGTGATAACACCTATGTGGAGCCTCTGCACCACTGCACACTAGCCTGAGGGAAACAGTGAGGCTCTGTCCCTTAGAAAAATAGAGAAACCTTAAAATATTTGTTTGAACAAACTAATAAATAGCAACTAATTTCATTATGTAAATCATTGCTATTAAAAATATCAAAACTACAATGAGATAACATCTAACTCCAGTGATAATGTTTTTTGTCCAAAAGTCCCCAAACAACAAATGTAGGTATGAATGCTGAGAGATAGGAACACTTACTCACCTTGGGTGTGATGCAAACTAGCACAGACTCCATGGAAAGTAACATGTAGATACCTTAAGGATTGATCCAGCAATCCCACTATTGGGTATTTATCCAAAGAGGAAAAAAAGGCATTTTATCAAAAAGACACCTGCATGTGAATGTTTATTATAGCACTGTTCACAATTGCCAAGATGTGGAATCAACAAAAGTGCTGATCAATGCACAAGTGTGTTAATAAAATATGGTGGACATGGAGCACTATTCAGCCATAGTAAAATATGGTGAACGTGGGGCGCTGCTCAGCCATAATAAAATGAGGTAGACATGGAGCACTACTTAGCCATAATAAAATGTGATAGATATGGAGCACTGCTGGGCCATAATGAAATATGGTAGACATGGAGCACTACTCAGCCATAATAAAATACAGTGGACATGGAGCACTCCTCAGCTGTAATAAAATATAGTAGACATTGAGCACTACTCAGCCATAATAAAATATGGTGGACATGGAGCACTCCTCAGCCATAGTAGAATATGGTGGATGTGGAGCATTGCTCAGCCATAGTAAAATATGGTGGACGTGGGGCATTGCTCAGCCATAGTAAAATATGGTAGATGTGGGGTGCTGCTCAGCCATAGTAAAATATGGTGGATGTGGGGCATTGCTCAGCCATAGTAAAATATGGTGGATGTGGGGCATTGCTCAGCCATAGTAAAATATGA